TGCTTTTTCATAGTCTATAAATCCAATGTAAAGTGGTGAGTTCAGTTCAATGCTTTGCTCTATTATAATACGTAATGTGGCTATCTGATCAGTACAGGATCTACATACATACATACATACATACATACATACATACATACATACATACATACATACATACATACATACATACATACATACATACATACATACATACATACATACATACATGCACAACATACACACACACGTGCAAACAAACATACAGGCATACATACAGGCATACATACAGTCATGCATGGAGACACACACATGCACACTCCCACAGACAAACACACTAACACACACACCCACAGAGACACACACACTCACGTAGACAAAAATACAGACACACACACAGACACTTACATATAACACACACAGGGAAACACACAGCAGAGAGAGAGAGAGAGAGAGAGAGAGAGAGAGAGAGAGAGATTGATTGGGGCTAAACTAGATGGCTGGGACTCACGAGCAGATGCTACCACATCTCCAGCAGCTTCCTTCATTGTATTTGCTCATGGGAGATACTCTTGGTGGTGGCAGTATAGTCCCCGGATGTCCGCAGTTGACATGTGACTGAGGCCCTGTTAGGGTATATTTTCCGCCTCGATAATTAAGGACCGTTTTTCAGAAGATAGCCTGATTTTATAACAACATGCGTGGCTAAGTTTTTTTTCACCTATTGAAATGCGGCTGTTATCGCACCAATTTCTACATTCTCCCACCGGATGTGGTAATATTGCATGCCAAGCTCTCTCTTAGTCATCCTTCCCTAGGCTTTCATAACAAAGCCCTCCAGTCTAGTCCATACATACAGCATTCATGGTAACAGCGAATTAACTGTCCAATGCTGATGAATATGTTGAAGTAAGAAACTGAGCACCTATCGATGTGTCTGGAGTGCTGTGAAGATAACTCAGTTTATAACTCAGTTTATAACTCAGTTTATAACTCAGTTCAACTCAACTCTATTTATGCATCTTCCTGCATGCAGTGCTGCATTACTTGCCAGCTGGTCCTCCCATTTATTACTTTTTACTGCGGCATGGCCAGGTGTGTAGATCCAAGTGGGAGAGGTCAAGTGTGACTTCTAAATGCTGGCCCTCCCATTTATTACTTTTTACTGCGGCATGGCCAGGTGTGTAGATCCAAGTGGGAGAGGTCAAGTGTGACTTCTAAATGCTGGTCCTCCCATTTATTACTTTTTACTGCGGCATGGCCAGGTGTGTAGATCCAAGTGGGAGAGGTCAAGTGTGACTTCTAAATGCTGGTCCTCCCATTTATTACTTTTTACTGCGGCATGGCCAGGTGTGTAGATCCAAGTGGGAGAGGTCAAGTGTGACTTCTAAATGCTGGTCCTCCCATTTATTACTTTTTACTGCGGCATGGCCAGGTGTGTAGATCCAAGTGGGAGAGGTCAAGTGTGACTTCTAAATGCTGGTCCTCCCATTTATTACTTTTTACTGCGGCATGGCCAGGTGTGTAGATCCAAGTGAGAGAGGTCAAGTGTGACTTCTAAATGCTGGTCCTCCCATTTATTACTTTTTACTGCGGCATGGCCAGGTGTGTAGATCCAAGTGAGAGAGGTCAAGTGTGACTTCTAAATGCTGTCCTCCCATTTATTACTTTTTACTGCGGCATGGCCAGGTGTGTAGATCCAAGTGAGAGAGGTCAAGTGTGACTTCTAAATGCTGTCTGCAAATTCAGAGTGCAGGCTGCCAGTTAAAAATTTTCGGAAGCGTGTTTATGGAGTCCAATATAATCACTGTGAATGTGGCTGATTATTATAATTTGTGTCTAATCTTGTGCATGTCTAATTTTGTGCACATTATTCACCTTACTGAGATATAGATCGTAAGTCTCTAGACATTACATCTCCATATCTCAACACCTGTGCCACACATTCATCTTTAATAAATCTTTGATTAATAATTGAATCGTTTCATTCTCATACTGATATTTATTGCTTTCTCTATTCAAACAACAGAGTCAGACTCCCAACCCTCATCTGACTCTGTGGTGATAGGTGGCGCTGTGGCTGGGATAGCTGTGGCTGTTATTGTTCTAGCGGTGGTAATTGGTGTCCGGCTGAAGTTTAAGGATCCAAAGTAAGGACAATTTTGGAAGTATACGGTGTAACCAGGACATGGGACATCTGGGGGGGGGGGGGGGGGGGGGGGGGGGGGGGGGGGGGGGGGGGGGGGGGAGATTATGATCTATGGAATTATAGGAGAGAAGATATGCAACAAGATACAATGTTACATTACACAAATACACACACACTCGCACACAGGGACGCATGCACGTACATCTAGGACGATTATGATCTATGGGATTGTGGGAGAGAAGATATACAAGAAGAATAAGATACAATGTTACATTACACAAATTCACATGCACACACATGCACACATGAATGCAAGCGTGCGCATAATTATCTTGCAGTATCATTACAGTTGTGTCTGATTAATATACTGCAAGCAGTAATCACAGCTATACACATTTCAGTTTTACCAAATTATGAGTCAGTACCAAGAAATATTAGTGATTCAAGAGGGCACCCAAGAAAAGCCACAAATACTGTATGCACGCACGTACACACACACATACCATATATGCTGAGAAAAACAAAGCACATTTGAGCTTGATAGTAAAACCATGTTTGTTCATAATGCAATAAATCAATATTGATTCCTATACTTTGTGTCTGCAGGATCAAAGGAGGGTCAGGGAAGCCAGGAAGCCATGAGATGACCCAGGTTGTGGTCCTGCCTGATGTTACCAACACCAGCAGCAGTGAGACCTCCAGGTAACTCTAGCATTTGCTTGCTCCCTGACAGTTCTTTCCCTTGATTTCTACAGAAATTAATCCAAAACACATTACATGAGCTAGTTTCCTTCCTTCCATTCTTTCTTCTCTATCATGAAGCTGCTAACTGCGCTACCCTGCATAAAAACATCTTCGTAATTTATGGGAGGGATAGACAAGAAACAAAGGGTACGTGTGATGGCTCATCAGGTAACTCTCAAAACAGCATACATCCACCCGCACACCCAAGAGGAACCTAGGGAAGAAGTTACACACCAAACAATTAATTATCAGACACGGAACAAAATGAGACTCACAGGGGTTTCCAGTTTCAACTACCCAGCCATAAAGTGACCGGCGCGTTTTAAAATCACCACCTAAAAATGGGATCTCTAGTTGCCTTCAGCGCTACCAGGTCTGAGTGAACACTCCTCGACTTAACTTCCTCAAGCATCCCAACTCTCCAGTCTGCTAGTTTCTTCTTCAGAGCGCTCTGATTGGGCTTGGGTGGACCATGTCACAAAGTTCACTCTTGCCTCCCTCCCAGAAGTTTTACTGTAAAAAGTCTTATACGCAGTTAAATCTTGCTGCATTCCCACTAGATGGCCGAAGCATTTCATTCTTTGCCTCTTAATATAATCTAGTGTAACTGTCTTATTCCAAATTTCTCTCTAATGCTGGTATTCGTAACCCTGTCCCGTCTTGTGTTGTTAGTGACCTTATAGAGACAGAGCATTTCAAATGTAGTTATTTTCTTTTTTAGTGCTCTTTTCTAGTACTTTTTCCTTGACTCTCCTAATTTTCCTTCAATCCATCCTCCACTTATTCCATCCTTCCATCCATCCTCCACTTATTCCATCCTTCCATCCATCCTCCACTCATTCCATTCTTCCATCCATCCTCCACACATTCCATCCTTCCATCCATCCTCCACTCATTCCATCCTTCCATCCATCTTCCACTTATTCCATCCTTCCATCCATCCTCCACTCATTCCATCCTTCCATCCATCCTCTGTTGATTCCAGCTTCCTTGCCTTCTTGTCTCCATCCTCTCCTTTTCCTTCATTCCTTCCTCTTTTTCTCTAACTTGCTTCCTTTTCATCTGTAATTATTTATGGCTCTATTTTCTCCATCCTTCCAAACTCACTGAATCTCTCTCTTCCTCCCCCTCATTCCACACTCCCTTTATTTAATTCTTCTACCTGCCTTCATTCTTGTCTTCTTTTCTTCTATCCACCCTTGCTATGATGCAACATTCAATGCAGACACCCACCCTCCTTCACACACATATCCCCCTACAGTATTCTGTTTGATTTGAATCATATTTGTTTGTTTTTCAGGCCCATCCGACTGGGAGATTACGATAAAATGCTGCAATCTCTGCATATGAATGACAATGCAGCACTCAGCCAAGAATATGCGGTAAATAAAGCTGTCTTGTTTTAAAAAGGTTTTCCTGTTGATCTATCAATCTTTGTTCAATGGGTAGAATGGCTTGCATTGTTTGATAAAGCTCAGATCAGGAAGATATTGGGGATTCTGTGCTTAGGATCTTCTGGCTTGTATGGTAATGAGAAGGCTGATAGACTGGCTGCTGCTGTTCCTCTGGGAAAAGATTGACTGAGAGAAATCTGCCAGGATTGACAACTATGGTAAGAGACAACTTGTTAGAGATCCTTTGGTTGATCTTCATTGTAGAAATGGCTCCAGACAGATGGATTGATTTATTGGGGTGCATGTGTGGTGTGCAGGAAGGTGGATGATGTGACAGATGTAGATGTCAGCAGGGCTGTTTTTCTAGAACATCAAGTGTATTTAAAACAACAATGATGCATTAAAAAAATATTGGTGCCGGTACTGTTTACAACCAAAAAAAAGAAAAGACCCAGGGTATCAGCCTAGGCTCTGAATCCTTACCTCCCTCCCCTTCCCCCAAATTTTTTATAACTTTACTGTGTGGCCCCTTTCCCTCTTCTTTAAAAAAAAAGAATTGCTATTTTGTGTATAAGTATTTGTTTACACATATTATATTATTTCTTATACATTATTTTATATTTTTGGCAGTCAGCACAGTATAATTATTATTTTATTACTGTGCTCTTAAACTGGAATTATTTCCCTTGCATTGTACCTCATATTCTTTTGTCATTACATCTATTTTCTGTGCCATGACACTAAAGGAGCTCAACCAGCGATCCCCACAGCATTCAATGGATGTTGGCAGTGATCTTTCCTATCGTCATGACAACAGATGGACCAACATCCTTCCATGTAAGTCTCAGCATTGACTATCTAGAAATGTCAAACTTTGCTAGTTGTTGGCAGACCCTGGGTGGTTGGTTTGTTGCTTAGTGGGTTGCATGGTTGACTGATTGCATGGTTGGTTAGTTGGTCACCTGGTTGGTTAGTTATTTGCTGGCTGGTTAGTTAGTTGTATGGATGGTGAGCTGGTTGCATGGTTGGTTAGTTGGTTGTGTTATTGGTTGGTCAGTAACTAGTTTCTTGATTGCATATTTGATTAGTTGGTAAAATGTTATGAAAAACTGAATATTAATTTTGATATGGGGTGACCCGTTTGCTATAAAGCTGAAACTAAGATTACCAGATTACCAGATTTAATTTTGATGCACTGGTGACCAAGTCATTTGAGGGAATGAATCTGGCACAAGTGAGGTTAATAAAGACATTTTCATCCAACCCTGGTATTGAAGCCACATCTCTGTGAGGACTATCACAGAGCTCTTTTTATTTTAAAAGCCAAATTAAGCAGATGGTGCTTCAAAGTATACACTTTTCTACACCAAGATCATTTTGTCATTTGGAGGAGGTAGCATGTTTTAATTCTGCTGTGATCACCAGGACTTTCAATTGTTATGTTGCTTAGTGTGTTTTCTATCTCTGTTTCTTTCTCTCTACATCTGTGACTGCTAATCAATACCCATGAATTTTTTTAGGGCTATTTTAAAACTTTTCATTGTAGTCCCATAGGATGTAACTAGGTCATGATGCGTCTACATTGTCTCTATCTTTCTTTGTCACACACAATCTGTCACTCTCACTGTCTGTCTGTCTGTCCGTCTCTCTTTCTCTCTCCCTCACACACTGTCACTCACTTTCACTGTATGTCTGTCTGTCCATCTCTCTTTCTCTCTCACTAACACTCTGTCACCCCTTTCTATGTCTCTCTTTGACTCTTTCTGTTCCTTCTCTCTGTCACTTAATTTCTCTTAAATTATACACATGGTTTACATTATACACATGGTTCCTACTTCCCTTCCACTCTCTTTCTCTCATACATTATAACTCGCTCGCTCTTTCTCTCTCTCTCTCTCTCTCTCTCTCTCTCTCTCTCTCTCTCTCTCTCTCTCTCTCTCTCCCCCCTCTCTCTCTCTCTCATACATACTGTCATTACTGTCTTTCACACAAACATCAAGTCACTCTCTCACACTCAGATACACACAACCTCTTATTCTCTCTTATTTGTATGTGTGAAACAAGAAGGAAAACATGAGCTAAGGATTGAACTAGTAGGATAATCTGAACTTATGATTGAACTAGTAGGATAATCTGGGTTAATGATTGAACACATTAGCGCATTAGCTACATTAGCTCCTATTCTTTATGTATGTGTGTGTGTTTTCTGTTTGTGCATTTATGTCTATGCATGTGTGTGTGTTTTCTGTTTGTGCATTTATGTCTATGTATGTGTATGTGTTTTATGTTTGTGTATGTATGTAAATGCGTGTGTGTATGTATTAGGTGTGTATTTGTATGAGTGTGCATATATGAGAACGTAGGAGTATGTATACATGTGTGAGTGTGTACGATTGTGTACACATGATGTGTGTATGCATTATTCTATAATTTATATTTTTTATTATATCCATAACATGCATTATTGATAACAGGCATTGGTACTCTGAAAAATAAGTACTTAGAAGGGCCGAATGTCAATTTATAACCCTTTAAAAATAAAGTTTGTTCGTTCGTTCGTTCTCTTTCTCACTCACAGACAACATAAACACCCAATTACTCTGTCTGCCTGCCTCACTGTCTTTATTTCTCTTTCTTTCCCCACTCTCTTTCCTCACTTTCACTCTCTCACATACAGACATCCTGTCTTTTTCTCAGTAATGAAAAATAATATAATCTCATTCATATTTCAGTTGATCACAGCCGAGTCAAGTTGGCAGTCATCAGTGGAGATGAAAGCTGTTGCCAGGACTACATCAATGCCAACTATATTTCTGTAAGTGGAAGCAGAGAGGAAGTTAGTGCTGACATTAACCCAGCAGCTCAGTTGAAACTAGCTCCTAGCAGTAACACAAACTCTTTTAGCCATGCCCATCTTAAAGACATGCCTATCTCAAAGATGTGGTCCTTTCATGATATTCCTGGGATATACTCAGATATCTCATGTGGAAGGAATTGAACTTTCTTTCCTGCTGTGAGTACATTGTTTATGATTCAGACCCACAGAGTAGTGTACTTAAAACACCAGCTTCATATCGTATGTTATAATTTATGGTTATTATAGAATTATACAATAATTGTATTGTGCTACCCATGAAAGGCTGGCATCACTGACATGTATTTGTTTCTGTCCCCAAATTTCTGGTCCAGGGGCTCGATTCCTCCCGGGACTACATTGCTACACAAGGCCCATTAACTCGGACGGTGTCTGACTTCTGGAGGATGGTCTGGGAGCAGAATGTCTCTGTCATCGTCATGCTGGCTGACTTTGAGGAGCTAGACAAGGTCAGGATTGTCTACATCCAGACTTGACAGAGACTTCTGCTAATATTTGCTTCACCTTTCATCTGTCACAGAGAGAAGTACAATACAATACAATACAATACAATACAATACAAACTGTGACTAAGAAGCTAAACACGGATCTGATCACAGCTCTATAACGTGCATTCATTTAAAACCCATTCTAATAGATTTATTATAAAATCATGAAAAAACATCAACAAGGCAAAGCATTAATTTTGAATGAATTATGTATGCATGATGGGTTGGTTGAAACAAAAAGAAGTTGCTGTTGGCATTCAGGTGAGATTCTATTGCAACCCTTTAAACTGTCCCAATTTAAATGTTAAATTCTTTTACTAATGAATTTGTGCTTCGACAAAGTTCACCTGCATTTCTTCATGAATTTTTTCTTTTGTTTTGTCTGTTGTAACAGCAAGTGCTAAACCCAGTCATGGAAGATCTCTTGTGAACTCACAAAACATCTAAGCCCAGTCTGTCATCTAAGCCCAGTCTGTGACTTCGACACATATTTGTGTTTGTTACTGTGCGCTTCTTGCATTCTTTGGTGTGTGTCAATTAGTCAACAGTCATCAAATACAAGACACTGGATCTTCACTCTTTGAGCTTCTTTGGACAGATTTTATATCAACCCAGTCATTTTCTCAATAATCGGAATCAGAACCAGTGCATCATGGGACAATAAGAATGTGATTGGTCAGTGCTTATCACATGGCTATCACATGACCCTGTTCAACGCATGCAATTACCCACAGTGCTGCACATGGCTATAACATGACCCTGTTTAACACATGCAATTACCCACAGTGCTGCACATGGCTATAACATGACCCTGTTTAACGCATGCAATTATCCACAGTGCTGCACATGGCTATAACATGACCCTGTTTAACGCATACAATTACCCACAGTGCTGCACATGACTATAACATGACCCTGTTTAACGCATGCAATTACCCACAGTGCTGCACATGACTATAACATGACCCTGTTTAACGCATGCAATTACCCACAGTGCTGCAAATGGCTATAACATGACCCTGTTTAACGCATACAATTACCCACAGTGCTGCACATGGCTATAACATGACCCTGTTTAACACATACAATTACCCACAGTGCTGCACATGACTATAACATGACCCTGTTTAACACATACAATTACCCACAGTGCTGCACATGACTATAACATGACCCTGTTTAACACATACAATTACCCACAGTGCTGCACATGACTATAACATGACCCTGTTTAACACATACAATTACCCACAGTGCTGCACATGACTATAACATGACCCTGTTTAACACATACAATTACCCACAGTGCTGCACACAAAGAGAACATAACTGAACACTTCTAATATTATTGACCTAGCCTTATTAAGAAAAGGCAGCAAAAACATTTTCTGAAAGGTGCAGTGACCGACTTAAACAACCACACCAGCCATCGAATGCTGTTGTATCCAGATATTATAAGTCTGTCACCACAGTCCCAACATCCCCTGATGGTAGCATGATATTTTCTGGCCTGGATCAGGTCAGTGTACTTTTCCTGAATATGCCATATGGCCAAACATTCAAGTTTTCAGAGAACCTCTGAGAAAATCAGTTGACAATATCAAGTATCCATAGTCTGGATGGTTGACAGTATTAAGTATCTGTAGTCTAGATGGTTGACAATATCAAGTATCTGTAGTGTAGGTCATTAACAATATCAAGTATCTGTAGTCTAGTGGTTGACAGCATCAAGTATCTGTAGTATGAATGGTTGACAATATCAAGTATCCGTAGTCTAGATGGTTGACAATATCAAGTATCTGTAGTCTAGATGGTTGACAATATCAAGTATCTGTAGTCTAGGTGGTTGACAATATCAAGTATCTGTAGTCTAGATGGTTGACAATATCAAGTATCTGTAGTCTAGATGGTTGACAATATCAAGTATCTGTAGTCTAGGTGGTTGACAATGTCAAGTATCTGTAGTCTAGGTGGGTGACAGTATCAAGTATCTGTAGTCTAGGTGGTTGATAATATCAAGTATCTGTAGTCTAGGTGGTTGATAATATCAAGTATCTGTAGTCTAGGTGGTTGACAATATCAAGTATCTGTAGTCTAGGTGGGTGACAATATCAAGTATCTGTAGTCTAGATGGTTGACAATATCAAGTATCTGTAGTCTAGGTGGGTGACAATATCAAGTATCTGTAGTCTAGATGGTTGACAATATCAAGTATCTGTAGTCTAGATGGTTGACAATATCAAGTATCTGTAGTCTAGATGGCTGATAATATGAAGTATCTATAGTCTAGATGGTTGATAATATGAAGTATCTGTAGTCTAGATGGTTGACAATATCAAGTAACTGTAGTCTAGATAGTTGATAATATGAAGTATCTGTAGTCTAGATGGTTGACAATATCAAGTATCTGTAGTCTAGATGGCTGATAATATGAAGTATCTATATTCTAGATGGTTGATAATATGAAGTATCTGTAGTCTAGATGGTTGACAATATCAAGTAACTGTAGTCTAGATGGTTGATAATATGAAGTATCTGTAGTCTAGATGGTTGACAATTTCAAGTAACTGTAGTCTAGATGGTTGATAATATGAAGTATCTGTAGTCTAGATGGTTGACAATATCAAGTAACTGTAGTCTAGATGGTTGATAATATGAAGTATCTGTAGTCTAGATGGTTGACAATATCAAGTAACTGTAGTCTAGATGGTTGATAATATGAAGTATCTGTAGTCTAGATGGTTGATAATATCAAGTATCTGTAGTCTAGGGGCTCAACAAAAACCTATATTTCTAGCACCCAAAGTAGTAAAAGCTAGTAGAAAATAAGGAAGGAATTAACCACAAAAATCTAAACAAAACAAATAATACAACATGCATTTTGCTTGTATGGTCTTGTATTCAGATCTAATAACCTTAGCTTTCAGGTTGATGCATCCTAAAATATATAACAGGTAAAGTCCTGGGAAATAAAGGCAGTCGGTCTGGTGTTGATCACATCACCCAGCTAATTGGTCTATACACTTATGAGACTGGTCTCAAAGCCTGAGAAGCCACTTGTGTGTCCTTGAGCGATTATTCTAAAATATTCCTAAATTGAATTGCAGTTTTCACCTCAAATTTAGTAGACATGAAAAATGTGACATTTGTATACTCCAACAGAGGACACAAATAATAAGAGAGAAAGTTGCCCGTTACTTCCCTGGTGATGAGGAAACTGGTCCGTCTCAGTATGGACTCATTCAAGTGTCAAGGACGAGGAAAGATTACAACCACAAGTGGGAGATCCGCACTCTAAAATTAACGCACACGCGGGTACCTAACACTTTTCTAATTAATGTATAAGTGTTCGTTACCTCATAATAATGTATCAGTGATCTTTTTTTTGTTTTACATTAATAATTTATAAATAATCTGTTGTACTTTTAAAGTATAAATGATATTCATTGTCTGATGCAGTAAATTATTTTATAAATGGCAAAGCTTATCTATCACATAAAAGTGTACAAACGAGATTCTTTACCTGTTGCATAAGTAATTTATAAATTTATGTCTTCTTTGGTGGAATGTTTGAATTGTTGATTGATGGGTTGATTGATTGATTTATTGATTAATTGATTGATTGATTGATTGGTCACTTGATAAGTTGATTGGTTGGATGATTGATTGATTAGTTGATTAATAAGTTGATTGACTGGTTAATTGATTAGTTGATTGATTGGTTGATTGATAAGTTGATTGACTGATTGATTGGTTGTTTGATGAGTTGATTGATTAAATTATTGATTGATTGGTTGACCGGAATTAACATGTTGTGGGAATCACAACCAACTTTCCTGCCAGTTCATTTCTAAAAATTCCACTGGATATAGATTTTTTTTAAGTGTCCAAAACTGAACCTAAACTGAGTGTGAGGAAATGCCTGCGAAGTAAAGGTGGACAGCTTGATATTGATCACATTACCCACTGCATACTAATCAGTCTTCACAAGTATAAGATTAGCACTGTTAGCCCTCATACCTCACGTAAGGACAGTTGAGCCGAGTTGAGTTGAGTCAAGAATTGACATCACAGCACTTGGGGCATTCCCATATGTGCTCTGTCCCCATCCTCAGCAGCCGGGGCAGAGTTCCAATACTAATGGTGCCAGTCGTAGTCTGGTTATATGTCCGTCTTGCCTTTCCTTTGAGTATAATGTGCCTGCCGAACCCTCTGGTCACACCCAGGTGCATCATTCTCTCCAGCCCATAATTATCTAGTTTCTCTTCTGACTTCGTAACTTGTTCTGAAAGGGCTCTGACCACATCTGCCTTGTCATGTATCAATTCATCACACAGCACTGCAGGTCCAGCCAGTCTGTCTGCCTGTTTATTCCCCATCATGCTGGCATAGCCTGGAAAAAAAAAATCAAAGTATGCTCATGACCTGTGACCTCGCAAGTTAAGCTTGCCACTCTGCTCAAAGCAATCCTGTCTTCACGTTTTTCAGCATGCTTTTAGAATCTGTTACTATTATGATATGTGTATGTATCCTGTTCTCTAGCCACTGACAAGCTGCAGTGACCACCTCCACCTCCATTCTCATGCTGGATATTGTGGTATCATATGCTGTCAGGCACTAAAGATTTTCCATTGGCTTTTGCTACGAAACCCAGGCACTTCTCTTTCCTCTTAACACAGAACCATCTGTGTAGATAATCAGATCATCAGGACGAGCATTGTTGTGAATCAACTGTTGGACTTCCATCTCCGTAGCCCCTGCTGGCCACTCATTGTTTACCCTTAACTTAAAAGAGAAACCTTCATTTTTTGGTAGCGTTGTTCAACCTGTCATGTAATGGTAGTAAGTTAAACAATGATATCCTGATCAACCCATCTGGGTTATAATTGGGACATATGACCCCCCTCCGCCCTCTCTCCACCTCCCCAGTTAGATATTGGAAATGTATGCTTGTCAGTTAATTTTGTTTTTTGAACTCGTTTGGTCCTAAAAAGTCTTGAATTCAACAGTGTCTCTGCTAAAGTTGTATCGAAGCTGAAAAATTGATTTTGAGAGAAAAGTTTCTACAGCAACAATTGGGAAATAAGGGGTTAACGTAAAGCAAATAATGTTACAGGAAAAGTGAACGTGTGGTGAGTGCCTTGCAGTTGCATGAGTTGATATTGCATCAGTTTTTATTAACTGTTAACAGCTGTAGGAGTGTAGATTGTTTTATTTATTCTATTTTATGTGAACTTTAATTATGTCATAGGGAATATATAAAGCGATCTGGGATGCCATTATTTATTATATAAATCAACACCTCATGTATGCTGTTTTAACGAATGAATAGATCTGATGTACCATGAAGAATTACTGTCACAGATAGCACATATCTTTTCTGTCCTACCAGGCCAGAAAGGTTCGCATCCTGAAGCATTTTTTCTTCAAGAATTGGAGCGACCATGAAGCTGATATTGACAAGCAGGAACTTGTTGATTTTGTGGAGCTTCTGAGAGCAGAAATGAAATCTCTTCCAAAGGCTCCTATGGTGGTACACTGCAGGTATGTCCGACAGTTTCTGTCATAGTTAAACCAGTTCATGTTCCTCCAGTTAGGTTAATCAGTTCTTGTTGTACCTGCAGGTTAATCAGTTCTTGTTGTACCTTCAATTAATCAGTTCTTGTTGTGCTCTCAGGTTAATCAGTTCTCGTTGTACCTTCAGGTTAATCAGTTCTTGTTGTACCTTAAGGTAAATCAGTTTTTGTTGCACCTTAAGGTTAATCAGTTCTTGTTGTGCCTTTAGATTAATCAGTTCTTGTTGTTAGTTAGTTATTCCGCTTGTGCCAAAGATGGCGCATAGGGCAGAGGTCATAGCTTTCCACGTCTGTCGGTTCTTTGCCACTTGATGTAGGTCTTGAGTGCGACTGAGACCTATGGTTGAGCTCTCTCTTGTGATGGTTCTACAGAGAGTTTCTTTTGGTCTTCCCTGTTTTCTTTTACCCTCTGGTGACCATACGAAGGCTTGGTGGGGAAGTCTCTGTACGTCCATTCTGAGTACGTGACCGATGTAATTCCAGCGACGCTTTCTAATAAAATCAGACACATATTTTTGTTTTGTTTCCTGTCTTATAGATGTATTGGACCTAAAGTCAGACCAGTGAACATTCAATAGCTTTCGGAGGCATCTATTCTCGAAAGCGACTAGTTTCTTATCGATTGATACTGATGATTTCCAACTCTCACAACCATAAGTTAGCACTGGGATCACACAGGAATTGAAGACCTTAAGTTTCGTGTTGTTGCTGAGTGATCTTGACTTCCAAATGTTTGACAGTTTGTTAAAGGCACTTGATGCTAACGCGATTCGAGTCGTTATTTCTGATGTTGTATCTCCCACAGAGGTTATCTTGCTCCCTAAGTATGTGAAGCTGGTGATTTTTTCAAGAACAATATCCTTTAGTTTGATGTCTTTCGACTCGTTGGTAAGATCGATGATTTTCGTTTTGGCTGCGTTGACCTGAAGGCCGATTTGGCTTGAAATATTCTGGAGGCGGTCCATTTTTTCCTGAGCTTCTAGATGTGTTGTGCTTAGGAGTGCTAGGTCGTCAGCAAAGTCAAGATCTTCGAGAACTTTGTCGACCCATTTGATGCCTAGATGTGTGTCCTGTGTGCATTTGCGCATGACCCAGTCGAGTGCTATTCCGAAAAGCATTGGTGACAAGACACATCCTTGTTTCACGCCTGTTTCTACTGGGAACCAATCAGAGTTACCAGATTCCGTTCTAACAAGGCAGCGGGAATCGGTGTAGAAGGCCTTTATAATATTGACATATTTATCTTGGAAACCATAGATTGTGAGTAGCTTCCAGAGTGTAGGGCGGTGTATGCTGTCAAAGGCCTTCTGAAAATCAACAAAGTTGATGATGAGTTGGGATTGAAACTCTACTGACTCTTCTACGATGGTTCTGAGTGTGAATATATGGTCGATGCATGACCGATTCGGTCTGAATCCTGCTTGTTCTTCTCGGAGTCTTGCATCTATTGGCTTTTTCAGTCTCTGCATTAGCATGCTGCAGAACAGTTTCCCTGGTACGGAGAGTAGGGTGATACCACGCCAGTTGTTGCAGTCTGCTAAATCACCTTTTTTGGGCAGTTTGAATATAACACCTTCTTTCCACTGTAGCGGTGGGGATTCATTTAGCCAAACATCATTGAACAGCTGTAGCAAATATTGTAAGGTGTTTTCGTCTGCTGCCTTTAACATTTCTTGTTGTGCCTTCAGGTTAATCAGTTCTTGTTGTATCTTCAGGTTAATCAGTTCTTGTTGTACCTTAAGGTAAATCAGTTCTTGTTGTACCTCAAGGTTAATCAGTTCATGTTGTGCCTTTAGGTTAATCAGTTCTTGTTGTATCTTCAGGTTAATCAGTTCTTGTTGTACCTTAAGGTAAATCAGTTTTTGTTGCACCTTAAGGTTAATCAGTTCATGTTGTGCCTTCAGATTAATCAGTTCTTGTTGTGCCTTCAGGTTAATCAGTTCTTGTTGTATCTTCAGGTTAATCAGTTCTTGTTGTACCTTAAGGTAAATCAGTTCTTGTTGTACCTTAAGGTTAATCAGTTCATGTTGTGCCTTCAGGTTAATCAGTTCATGTTGTGCCTTCAGATTAATCAGTTCTTGTTGTGCCTTCAGGTTAATCAGTTCTTGTTGTGCCTTCAGGTTAATCAGTTCTTGTTGTACCTTAAGGTAAATCAGTTCTTGTTGTACCTTAAGGTTAATCAGTTCATGTTGTGCCTTCAGGTTAATCAGTTCATGTTGTGCCTTCAGGTTAATCAGTTCTTGTTGTACCTCCAGGTTAATCAGTTCTTGTTGTACCTTCAGATTAATCAGTTCTTGTTGTGCCTTAAGGTTAATCAGTTCTTGTTGTGCCTTCAGGTTAATCAGTTATCGTTGTACCTTCAGGTTAATCAGTTCTTGTTGTACCTTAAGGTAAATCAGTTTTTGTTGCACCTTAAGGTTAATCAGTTCATGTTGTGCCTTCAGATTAATCAGTTCTTGTTGTGCCTTCAGGTTAATCAGTTCTTGTTGTACCTTCAGGTTAATCAGTTCATGTTGTGCCTTCAGGTTAATCAGTTCTTGTTGTGCCTTCAGGTTAATCAGTTCTTGTTGTATCTTCAGGTTAATCAGTTCATGTTGTGCCTTCAGGTTAATCAGTTCTTGTTGTACCTTCAGGTTAATCAGTTCTTGTTGTACCTTCAGGTTAATCAGTTCTTATTGTACCTTCAGGTTAATCAGTTCTTGTTGTGCCTTTAGGTTAATCAGTTCTTGTTGTGCCTTCAGGTTAATCAGTTCTTGTTGTACCTTCAGGTTAAACAGTTCTTGTTGTACCTTCAGGTTAATCAGTTCTTGTTGTACCTTCAGGTTAATCAGTTTTTGTTGTACCTTCAGGTTAATCAGTTCTTGTTGTACCTTCAGGTTAATCAGTTCTTGTTGCACCTTCAGGTTAATCAGTTCTTGTTCTGCCTTCAGGTTAATCAGTTCTTGTTGTACCTTCAGGTTAATCAGTTCTTGTTGTACCTTCAGGTTAATCATTTTTTTTGGTACATGGTATCTGCTATAGCCTACCACCTACTAACCTGAAGGTTGTGGGTTCATATCGACACTGAGTCAGATTTTTAAAACAAAAAAAAGATTTTGTCTCCCAGATTTACCAAACCTAGAAAAAGCACAAGGCAGTAGGATGGGAAATAAAGGCGGCTGGCACGATTTGACTACATCACCCACTCTACACCAAAATGTGTCTAGCATCATAGGCCCTAAAACCCTGTGGTGTAAAAAGTGCTGTACATTTTTCTTGATTACACCTGAAGTTAGATTCATCAGCTCAACAATCAGTTTCTGTTTCTATTCAACCTGCATTTAGACACACACATACACACATGCACACATACATTACATACATACCTCCACATGCATGCATACACACACATACAATCACACATGTAGACGCCCACATACATAATGACCTTCACAGCACAAGGCAGATGGCTCAACCAGTTTGCCATAGTTACTTTAGCTCTCAAGGATTTATTTAAGATGTTCACTCCTTCACACTGCACAGATACGAATCACTTGCTGCATATTTGTGATCTGTTTCCAGTGCTGGAGTGGGTAGAACAGGCACATTCATCGCCGTAGATTACTTCTACAAGCTGCTGTCTTCCATGAGGCCTAGGTCACAAACTCCAGGCCTGGGTGAAGCAGCCAACAAGACAGTGGACATCTTTGGTCGTGTCCTCAAACTGAGAGACTGCCGTCGTTTCATGGTTCAGTCTTTGGTAATGTATTTGTGTATATTGCCATCTATTCTACTATTGTTGCCATATAAATAAAATTTTATTTAGTCTGCTGTCTGCTTCTAAATATGTTTTTTTTTTAAATTTTAGTATGTTACAGTGTGCTTTCATAGTTTTTTTTTCTTAATTTCAGTCTGTAATAGTGTGCTTTCACATTTAAAAAAAAAAACATTTCAAACTGTTGTAGTCTGCTTTCATTGTTTTTACTTCTTCAGTATTTCAGTTTCACTCTGTCTGTTGTGGTGTTCTTTCAAGTTTTAAAATGCCAGACTGATGTAATCTGCTTTTATGTTTTATTTGTTTTCGTTTAAAACTATTTTTAATTTATTATTATTTTTCATTTTAGCATTTCTTGTATTCTTCTTCTTCTTCTTCATTCCGAGCCCTTAAGGTTAATTGCTGCACATATCACCCGCCTCCATTTATCTCTTTGATTGGCCTTCTCTTTCCAGTTGGTGACACCAAGTGTTTGCAGGTCTGTCTGGACATTATCTCTCCATATTCTTCTTGGTCTGCCTCATGATCTATGATCATTCATCTCCCTTGTGTATACAGTTTGTAACTTCTCTGTCATCTGACATTCTTTCAGTATTTCCAACCATTTCAGTCTATTAGCTCTCATGATGCCAGTGATCAGTGGTGATTTAAACAGACTATGAATTTTGTTGTTGCTTCTCACTCTCCTTACCCTGCTGTTTGCATCTTTGATGGGTCAAAAGATTCGTCGTAAGACTCTGTTTTGGAAAATCTGTAATAAGGCTTCATCTATTTTAGTTGTTCTCCAAGTTTCAGAGTTATATAAAATGACTGGTCTTATCGTTTTATATATTTTGATCTTGGTGTTGCCAAACAGACACTTTGACTTTAGCAGATGTTGAAGGGCATAGTATACTTTATTTCCAGATTGTATTCTAGATAGTATTTCTTCTTTCAGCATGTTGGAGCAGTTGAAGTTTGCACCCAGGTACTTATATGTTTCCGTTCATTTGATTTTTATATAATTGACTTGTATGTGGTCGGAGTTTATATCTTTTCCCTGTCTAGTTATTATCATGTATTCTGCCTTATTTTGACTGATAACTAGTCCCACTTTCTAAGCTGATTCGTTTAAGACAGTCAGTGTTTTAAAGTCTCTAGTTCATTTTCTCCAACAATATCAATATCAATGTCATCAGCATATCCAAGTATTCTGGTAGTTTCTCCTTTAGTACACTTTTGTTTCAATTTTCTTATAATTTTCTCCAGGGCCAAGTTGAAAAGAAGTGGGGACAGAGCATCACGTTACTTTAAACCAGGTGTTATTTAAAAAGGTTGTTTATAGGTACAGCCAGAAACAGTTGTGATTGCTTTTGCTTCTTTAGTTAACAAACAATTAACGTTTATGCGGGCGACATTTTTTTAACCACAGTACTCCCTCAGTGTATAAGATCTATAAAGCAAGGCTACCACAATATGCCTAATGTGCTGTATGGAGTGGACATGAGGCATTTACCGACAGAAAAAGTAGAACCTTTATGTGCTCGTCGGTACATCTTTCATACCAGGCTAGACTACATTTTATAGACCAATCAGCCCTGGATGGGTAATGTAGTCAACATCATGCCAGCTGCCTTTACTTCCCAGAACTTTACCTGGAACACATTGGAGGCTGGGTCGACCTTGGAGAAATTGAAGGCTGGGTCAACCTGGGAGCCATGGAAGGTTGGGTTGACCTGGGAGGAATTGAAGGCTGGGTCAACCTGGGAGCAGTTGAAGGCTGGGTTGACCTGGGAGCCATGGAAGGTTGGGTTGACCTGGGAGCAGTTAAAGGTTGGGTTGACCTGGGAGCAGTTAAAGGCTGGGTTGACCTGGGAGCAGTTAAAGGCTGGGTTGACCTGGGAGCATGAAAGGCTGGGTTGACCTGGGAGCATGAAAGGCTGGGTTGACCTGGGAGCCATGGAATGCTGGGTTGACCTGGGAGGCATGGAAGGCTGGGTTGACCTGGGAGCATTGGAATGCTGGGTTGACCTGGGAGCATTGGAATGCTGGGTTGACCTGGGAGCATTGGAATGCTGGGTTGACCTGGGAGCTAAGGTCACATTTTCGGGGGGAAATCTGGCTACATGTGGAAATGAACGCATGACCTTGGGATGTGCAGGCAAGCGTCTAGCTGCAACACCAGACTCTCCATTTACTGACTGACTGTTGTGTCTCCTCAGAGCCAGTATGTCTTTGTCTACGACGCTGTCCTAGAGATCCTTCGACGACTGTTTCAGCTGCAACAGTCTAAAGGCTTGGACATTTGTGATCAAGAAGGGCACCAGTCGCTGGACATCCTTTCATGCCAGGGATCACTTGAAGACACGGTGTACGATGACGTTGGTATGAGTAAATACTTATCTTTAGATATATTTTATGTGTGTGTATTAACATTGTCATCCTAATTCTATTTTAATATTGCGTCTTTATTTACTGCACATGATCTCATGTATTTTTAGTTTCTCTTGAGTTCACTGAACTTTCGTGTTGACTTAGGGGGCTGGGTGGTCGCGAGGCATGGTGTCCACCTCGAGTGCTAGAGGTTCCGGGTTTAATCCCCGGTAAGGGTTAGGATATTTCACGTGAACTTGAACTTCTAGTAATTTCCCCTGGTCTCTGGGTTTTGAGATCGGACGTCTGTGTGCATTGTTGCGTATGTAAAAAAATATCTTGGCAGTTGGAAATCTGAAAAAAAGCCTTACTGCGCTGCCTGGGCAAAATTTTAAGTTAAAAATCCACCTAAAGTATTTCAGGATCCTCGCCGGTGCTACAGAGCTTGTGCACTATGCTGAGCTTCTTCGGACTCAGACTTGAGTTTGAAGAAAAACAGAGCACATGTGCCATGATGTTGATCCATTGTTCAAACCTCAAACCTAGTGTTGACTCAGAGACTCAGTTTAGTTTTCTTATTTTGCTGTACATAACACCTTCAGCAGTTCTTGGTATTTTAATATGGTCAAACAAAAATATTTCACTTCTTCAGTTCTCAGATACAGAAATATAGATTCACAAGATTGAACTCACCATGATAACATGACTAAAATAACAGTGAAAAAAGGGACATAAGAAGGAAAAAAACAAGAAGAAAAGAAAAAGAAGAAGGGGAAGGAATAACAAGAGTGGACAGGTCGAGGAATTTAAAAAAAAATATATATATATACAAAACAGGAAACTGCAAGCTGTACTTGGACTACTCCCCCACCCTCTTCCCCATCTCTTTCCAAAAACCCTGCCTCCTTCTATATCTCATTTGACTAATCCTCCTCATTCTCTTTATCTTTTCCCTCCTCTTCTCTCTTCACCTTTTTTTTCTCCTTCTCTCTTTTCACATTTTCCTTCTCCTCCTCCTCTTTCTTCTCTATTTCCTCCCACCCCACCCTCACTGCTACTGTTGCTCTTCCTTCTTCTCTTTCATCATCTTTGCATTCTCCCCCTCCTTCTACACTTTCATCCCCTTTACCTTCTCTTTATCTTTCTTCTCCTTTTCTTTCTTTTCTCCTTTCTTTTCTCATCTCCATTTTTTCTTGACTTTTGATTTCTCCACCTGTCCTCACTTGCTATTCCTCCCCCCTTCTTCTTGTTCTCTTCCTTCTCATCTTCTTTTTTTTTTTCACTGTTTATGTATTCTGTGGCTTATGCGTTGGGGTTTGATCCCAACTGCGAACAATTTGTCTTGAGTTGGTTTCAACAATGGTACATTCTTACACTAACCTATCATGCGCGTCATATGAGACCCCTAAGGAGAGTCGGGATGAGTCTGGCCACCTCATTCTTTAGAAGACTTCGGCTACAAAATCTAACTAATCATGAACATGTGCTTGGCATGAGTTGACTGTCAGAAAGCTGAAGAATAGCAATTCTAGTTATAGACTGTAGATGTTGGCACCTATAATGGTTGCCGAATGCATTTGATGCATGTGCGAGCTGTTTAATTTTGCCAGGACTGCTGTCTGTTTAACTTTTCACAGCAGCATTGACAGAGATTTTGAGTGGTTTTCCCTGGCACAGGAATGAAGCAATTGTGGAGTGACCCATTCGCAATGAACTTGTAACCCCAATAGATATCCTGAAGAAACAATTGTTAACTTTAATGCTTTACTTAATTTATCAGCTCTTCGTCCCCCAACTTCTCTCTTGTGTTCTTCTGTCCCTCATTCCTGCACTGCACAAACTGTGTTCTTCTGTTCCTCATTCCTGCTCTCCACCGTGTTCTTCTGTTCTTCATTCCTGCACTGCACAAACTGTGTTCTTCTTTCCTCATTCCTGCTCTCCACCAACTGTGTTCTTCTTTCCTCATTCCTGCACTGCACAAACAGTGTTCTTCTGTCCCTCATTCCTGCACTGCACAAACTGTGTTCTTCTGTCCCTCATTCCTGCAGTGCTCAAACTGTGTTTTTCTGTCCCTCATTCCTGCACTGCACACACAAACTGTTCTTCTTTCCTCATTCCTACTCCTCACGAACTGTGTCCTTCTACTCCCCATTCCTCCTCTCCATAAAATTTTTACTTGTCCTCCATTCTAGCTGACCATAACATTTGTACTTGTCTTCTATTTTAGCTGTCTATGAAATATGTACTTGTCCTCTATTCTAGCTAACCATGAAATATGTACTTGTCGTCTATTCTAGCTAACCATGAAATATGTACTTGTCTTCTATTCTAGCTGTCCATAAAATGTTTACTTGTCCTCTATTCTAGCTAACCATGAAATATGTACTTGTCTTCTATTCTAGCTGTCCATAAAATATGTACTTGTCCTCTATTCTAGCTAACCATGAAATATGTACTTGTCTTCTATTCTAGCTGTCCATAAAATATGTACTTGTCCTCTATTCTAGCTGACCATGAAATATGTCCTTGTCCTCTATTCTAGCTGTCTATGAAATATGTCCTTGTCCTCTGTTCTAGCTGACCATAAAATATGTACTTGTCCTCTATTCTAGCTGTCCATAAAATATGTACTTGTCCTCTATTCTAGCTGTCCATAAAATATGTACTTGTCCTCTATTCTAGCTGACCATAAAATATGTACTTGTCCTCTATTCTAGCTGACCATAAAATATGTACTTGTCCTCTATTCTAGCTGTCTATAAAATATGTACTTGTCCTCTGTTCTAGCAGACCATAAAATATGTACTTGTCCTCTATTCTAGCTGACCATGAAATATGTACTTGTCCTCTATTCTAGCTGACCATAAAATATGTACTTGTCCTCTATTCTAGCTGGCCATAAAATATGTACTTGTCCTCTATTCTAGCTGACCATAAAATATATACTTGTCCTCTATTCTAGCTGTCTATGAAATATGTACTTGTCCTCTATTCTAGCTGACCATAAAAAATGTACATGTCCTCTATTCTAGGTGTCTATGAAATATGTACTTGTCCTCTGTTCTAGCAGACCATAAAATATGTACTTGTCCTCTATTCTAGCTGACCATAAAATATGTACTTGTCCTCTATTCTAGCTGACCATAAAATATGTACTTGTCCTCTATTCTAGCTGACCATAAAATATGTACTTGTCCTCTATTCTAGCTGTCTATGAAATATGTACTTGTCCTCTATTCTAGCTGTCTATGAAATATGTACTTGTCCTCTGTTCTAGCAGACCATAAAATATGTACTTGTCCTCTATTCTAGCTGACCATGAAATAAGTGCTTGTCCTCTATTCTAGCTGACCATGAAATAAGTCCTTGTCCTCTATTCTAGCTGACCATGAAATAAGTGCTTGTCCTCCATTCTAGCTGACCATAAAATTTATCAGCTCTGTGTCCCCCAACTTCTCTCATTGTGTTCTCCTAATTTCTGCACTGCACAAACTGTGTTCTTCTGTCACTCATTCTTGCTCTCCAACCGTGTTCTTCTGTTCTTCATACCTTCACTGCACATACTGTGTTATTCTGTCACTCATTACTGCTCTCCACCAACTGTGTTCTTCGTCCCTCATTCCTGCACTGCTCAAACTGTGTTCTTCTGTCCCTCATTCCTGCACTGCACAAACTGTGTTCTTCTGTCCCTCATTCCTGCACTGCACACACAAACTGTGTTCTTCTGTCCCTCATTCCTGCACTGCACACAGAAACTGTGTTCTTCTTTCCTCATTCCTGCTGCCTCACAAAACTGTTCTTCTGTACTCCCCATTCCTTCTCTGCACATAAACTGTGTTACTCTGTCCTCCATCTAGCTGACCATAAAATACTGTGTCCTCATTCTAGCTGACCATAAAATATGTACTTGTCCTCCATTCTAGCTGACTATCTTATGTCTTGTCCTCTATTCTGCACTGCACACACAAACTATGTACTTTGTCCTTCATTCTAGCTGTCCATAAAATATGTACTTGTCCTTTATTCTAGCTGTCCATAAAATATGTACTTGTCCTTTATTCTAGCTGTCCATAAAATATGTACTTGTCCTCTATTCTAGCTATCTATGAAATATGTACTTGTCCTCTATTCTAGCTCACCATGAAATATGTACTTGTCCTTTATTCTAACTGTCTATGAAATATGTACTTGTCCTCTATTCTAGCTGTCCTTAAATAATGTACTTGTCCTCTATTCTAGCTGACCATAAAATATGTACTTGTCCTCTATTCTAGCTGACCATAAAATATGTACTTGTCCTCTATTCTAGCTGTCCATAAAATATGTACTTGTCCTCTATTCTAGCTGGCCATAAAATATGTACTTGTCCTCTATTCTAGCTGACCATGAAATATGTACTTGTCCTCTATTCTAGCTGACCATAAAATATGTACTTGTCCTCTATTCTAGCTGGCCATAAAATATGTACTTGTCCTCTATTCTAGCTGACCATAAAATATGTACTTGTCCTCTATTCTAGCTGACCATAAAAAATATGTACTTGTCCTCCATTCTAGCTGACCATAAAATATGTACTTGTCCTCTATTCTAGCTGACCATAAAATATGTACTTGTCCTCTATTCTAGCTGACTGCACAAATGTGTGCTTGTCCTCTATTCTAGCTGACCATGAAATAAGTGCTTTGTCCTCTATTCTAGCTGACCATGAAACTGTGCTTGTCCTCCTTATTCTAGCTGACCATAACTGTGTTCTCTGTTCTTCATTCCTTCAACTATCATCTCTTTGTCACAAACTGTGTTCTTCTTTCCTCATTTCTGCACTGCACAAACTGTGTTCTTTTGTCTTCTCATTCCTGCTCTCCACAAACTGTGTTCTTCTTTCCTCATACCTGCACTGCACAAACTGTGTTCTTCTGTCACTCATTCCTGCTCTCCACCAACTGTGTTCTCGTGTTCATTCCTTCATTCCTGTGTTCTTCTCTGCACTGCACTGCACAAACTGTGTTCTTCTGTTCCTCATTCCTGCACTGCACCAACTGTGTTCTTCTGTTCTTCATTCCTGCACTGCACAAACTGTGTTCTTCTGTTCCTCATTCCTGCTCTGCACACCAAACTGTGTTCTTCTGTCCCTCATTCCTGCACTGCACAAACTGTGTTCTTCTGTCCCTCATTCCTGCACTGCACACACACAAACTGTGTTCTTCTGTCCCTCATTCCTGCACTGCACACACAAACTGTGTTCTTCTGTCCCTCATTCCTGCACTGCACACACAAACTGTGTTCTTCTGTCCCTCATTCCTGCACTGCACACACAAACTGTGTTCTTCTGTCCCTCATTCCTGCACTGCACACACACAAACTGTGTTCTTCTGTCCCTCATTCCTGCACTGCACACACAAACTGTGTTCTTCTGTCCCTCATTCCTGCACTGCACACACAAACTGTGTTCTTCTGTCCCTCATTCCTGCACTGCCATAAACTATGTTCTTCTGTCCCTCATTCCTGCACTGCTCAAAATATGTTCTTCTGTCCCTCATTCTGCACTGCACAAACTGTGTATGTACTTGTCCTCTCATTCTAGCTGCATGAAATAAACTTGTCCTTCTTCTAGCTCCCTCATTCCTGCACTGCAACACAAACTGTGTTCTTCTATTCCTAGCTGACCTGAAATATGTACTTGTCCTCCAAACATGAAATATGTACTTGTCCTCTATTCTGCTGGCCATAAACTGTGTTCTTACTTTCCTCATTCCTGCTCTCCATGAAATGTGTTCTTGTCCTCTATTCTAGCTGCCTGCTAAAACTGTGTTCTTCTGTCCCTCATTCCTGCACTGACCACTGGCCAAAATGTGTTCTTCTGTCCCTCATTCCTGCACTGCACACTAGCTGAAATGTGTACTTCTGTCCTCTATTCCTGCACTGCACATAAAACTGTGTTCTTCTGTCCTCTATTCTAGCTGCACCATGAAAATGTGTACTTCTGTCCTCATCTATTCTAGCTGGCCATAAAATATATACGTCCTCTATTATAGCTGAACATGAAATATGTACTTTTCCTCTATTCTAGCTGACCATGAAATATGTACTTGTCCTCCATTCTTGCTGACCATGAAATATGTACTTGTCCTCTATTCTAGCTGGCCATAAAATATGTACTTGTCCTCTATTCTAGCTGACCATGAAATATGTACTTGTCCTCTATTCTAGCTGACCATGAAATATGTACTTGTCCTCTATTCTAGCTGACCATGAAATATGTACTTGTCCTCTATTCTAGCTGACCATAAAATATGTACTTGTCCTCTATTCTAGCTGACCATAAAATATGTACTTGTCCTCCATTCTAGCTGACCATGAAATATGTACTTGTCCTCTATTCTAGCTGACCATGAAATATGTACTTGTCCTCTATTCTAGCTGACCATAAAATATGTACTTGTCCTCTATTCTAGCTGACCATAAAATATGTACTTGTCCTCTATTCTAGCTGACCATGAAATATGTACTTGTCCTCTATTCTAGCTGACCATGAAATATGTACTTGTCCTCTATTCTAGCTGACCATAAAATATGTACTTGTCCTCTATTCTAGCTGACCATAAAATATATTCTAGCTGACTTGTCCTCTATTCTAGCTGACCATGAAATATGTACTTGTCCTCCATTCTAGCTGACCATGAAATATGTACTTGTCCTCTATTCTAGCTGACCATAAATATGTACTTGTCCTCTATTCTAGCTGACCATAAAATATGTACTTGTCCTCTATTCTAGCTGACCATGAAATAAGTGCTTGTCCTCCATTCTAGCTGACCATAAAAAATATACTTGTCCTCTATTCTAGCTGACCATAAAATGTATCAGCTCTTCGTCCCCCAACTTCTCTCATTGTGTTCTCTTCATTTCTGCACTGCACAAACTGTGTTCTTCTGTCACTCATGTTTGCTCTCCACCAACTGTGTCCTTCTGTTCTTCATTCCTTCACTGCACATACTGTGTTCTTCTGTCACTTATTCTTGCTCTCCACCAACTATGTTCTCTGTTCTTCATTCCTTCACTGCAAAAACTGTGTTCTTCTTTCCTCATTTCTGATCTCCACCAACTGTGTTCTTTTGTTCTTCATTCCTGCACTGCACAAACTGTGTTCTTCTTTCCTCATTACTGCACTGCACAAACTGTGTTCTTCTTTCCTCATTCCTGCTTTTTACCAACAGTGTTCTTCTGTTCTTCATTCCAGCACTACACAAACTTTGTTCTTTTTTCCTTATTTCTGCTCTCCACCAACTGTGTTCTCTGTTCTTCATTCCTGCACTGCAGAAACTGTGTTCTTCTTTCCTCATTCCTGCTCTCCACCAACTGTGTTCTTCGTCCCTCATTCCTGCACTGCTCAAACTGTGTTCTTCTGTCCCTCATTCCTGCACTGCACAAACTGTGTTCTTCTGTCCCTCATTCCTGCACTGCACACACAAACTGTGTTCTTCTGTCCCTCATTCCTGCACTGCACACACAAACTGTGTTCTTATTTCCTCATTCCTGCTCCTCACGAACTGTGTCCTTCTAGTCTCCATAAAATATGTACTTGTCCTCTATTCTAGCTGTCCATAAAATATGTACTTGTCCTCCATTCTTGCTGACCATGAAAAATGTACTTGTCCTCTATTCTAGCTGACCATGAAATATGTACTTGTCCTCCATTCTTGCTGACCATGAAATATGTACTTGTCCTCTATTCTAGCTGGCCATAAAATATGTACTTGTCCTCTATTCTAGCTGACCATGAAATATGTACTTGTCCTCTATTCTAGCTGGCCATAAAATATGTACTTGTCCTCTATTCTAGCTGACCATGAAATATGTACTTGTCCTCTATTCTAGCTGACCATGAAATATGTACTTGTCCTCTATTCTAGCTGACCATAAAATATGTACTTGTCCTCTATTCTAGCTGACCATGAAATATGTACTTGTCCTCCATTCTAGCTGACCATGAAATATGTACTTGTCCTCTATTCTAGCTGACCATAAAATATGTACTTGTCCTCTATTCTAGCTGACCATAAAATATGTACTTGTCCTCTATTCTAGCTGACCATGAAATAAGTGCTTGTCCTCCATTCTAGCTGACCATAAAAAATATACTTGTCCTCTATTCTAGCTGACCATAAAATGTATCAGCTCTTCCATAAAATGTATCAGCTCTTCGTCCCCCAACTTCTCTCATTGTGTTCTCTTCATTCCTCCACTGCACAAACTGTGTTCTTCTTTCCTCATTTTTGCTCTCCACCAACTGTGTCCTTCTGTTCTTCATTCCTTCACTGCACATACTGTGTTCTTCTGTCACTTATTCTTGCTCTCCACCAACTGTGTTCTCTGTTCTTCATTCCTTCACTGCACAAACTGTGTTCTTCTTTCCTCATTCCTGATCTCCACCAACTGTGTTCTTTTGTTCTTCATTCCTGCACTGCACAAACTGTGTTCTTCTTTCCTCATTACTGCACTGCACAAACTGTGTTCTTCTTTCCTCATTACTGCACTGCACAAACTGTGTTCTTCTTTCCTCATTACTGCACTGCACAAACTGTGTTCTTCTTTCCTCATTCCTGCTCTCCACCAACTGTGTTCTTCTGTTCTTCATTCCAGCACTGCACAAACTTTGTTCTTTTTTCCTTATTCCTGCTCTCCACCAACTGTGTTCTTCGTCCCTCATTCATGCACTGCTCAAACTGTGTTCTTCTGTCCCTCATTCCTGCACTGCACAAACTGTGTTCTTCTGTCCCTCATTCCTGCACTGCACAAACTGTGTTCTTCTGTCCCTCATTCCTGCACTGCACAAACTGTGTTCTTCTGTCCCTCATTCCTGCACTGCACACACAAACTGTGTTCTTCTGTCCCTCATTCCTGCACTGCACAAACTGTGTTCTTCTGTCCCTCATTCCTGCACTGCACACACAAACTGTGTTCTTCTGTCCCTCATTCCTGCACTGCACACACAAACTGTGTTCTTCTGTCCCTCATTCCTGCACTGCACACACAAACTGTGTTCTTCTGTCCCTCATTCCTGCACTGCACAAACTGTGTTCTTCTGTCCCTCATTCCTGCACTGCACACACAAACTGTGTTCTTATTTCCTCATTCCTGCTCCTCACGAACTGTGTCCTTCTACTCCCCATTCCTTCTCTCCATAAAATATGTACTTGTCCTCCATTCTAGCTGACCATAAAATATGTACTTGTCCTCCATTCTAGCTGGCCATAAAATATGTACTTGTCCTCTATTCTAGCTGACCATAAAATATGTACTTGTCCTCTATTCTAGCTATCTATGAAATATGTACTTGTCCTCTATTCTAGCTGTCCATAAAATATGTACTTGTCCTCTATTCTAGCTGACAATGAAATATGTACTTGTCCTTCATTCTAGCTGACCATAAAATATGTACTTGTCCTCTATTCTAGCTGTCCTTAAATAATGTACTTGTCCTCTATTCTAGCTGACCATAAAATATGTACTTGTCCTTCATTCTTGCTGACTATGAAATATGTACTTGTCCTCTATTCTAGCTGTCTATGAGATATGTACTTGCCCTCTATTCTAGCTGTTTATAAAATATGTACTTGTCCTCTATTCTAGCTGACCATAAAATATGTACTTGTCCTCTATTCTAGCTGTCCATAAAATGTTTACTTGTCCTCTATTCTAGCTGACCATGAAATATGTACTTGTCCTCTATTCTAGCTGTCCATGAAATATGTACTTGTCCTCTATTCTAGCTGACCATAAAATATGTACTTGTCCTCTATTCTAGCCCACCATAAAATATGTACTTGTCCTCTATTCTAGCTGACCATGAAATATGTACTTGTCCTCTATTCTAGCTGTCCATGAAATATGTACTTGTCCTTTATTCTAGCTGTCTATGAAATATGTACTTGTCCTCTATTCTATCTGTCTTTGAAATATGTGTCCTCTCTTCTAGCTGTCCATAAAATATGTACTTGTCCTCTATTCTAGCTGACCATGAAATATGTACTTGTCCTCTATTCTAGCTGTCTTTGAAATATGTGTCCTCTCTTCTAGCTGTCCATAAAATATGTACTTGTTCTTTATTCTAGCTGACCATAAAATATGTACTTGTTCTCTATTCTAGCTGACCATAAAATATGTACTTGTTCTCTATTCTAGCTGACCATGAAATATGTACTTGTCCTCTATTCTAGCTGACCATGAAATATGTACTTGTCCTCTATTCTAGCTGACCATGAAATATGTACTTGTTCCCTATTCTAGCTGACCATGAAATATGTACTTGTTCTCTATTCTAGCTGGCCATGAAATATGTACTTGTCCTCTATTCTAGCTGACCATAAAATATGTACTTGTCCTCTATTCTAGCTGTCCATGAAATATGTACTTGTCCTCTATTCTAGCTGACCATAAAATATGTACTTGTCCTCTATTCTAGCTGACCATGAAATATGTACTTGTCCTCTATTCTAGCTGACCATGAAATATGTCCTTCCCTCCATAAGTTTTCCATTTTCTACAGAACAACTCCAAGGCCAAGTAATAACTGACAAGAGGTTCTGAGACCAGGACAGCCTAGCATGCTGACCTGCAGAGATATCACAGGTGAGCAGGACAGATGACCCTGGTAGTCATCTTCTTTCCTTTGTATCTTTCTCTCTGCTATTTTATTGTTGATATTTCTGAGGCTCTGCTGTCTTACTCCCATGATGTAGTGGCTAGACGCTTACCTATGGATCTGCAGTCGTAGGTTTGAATCTAAAATGATCCAGATTTTGAAAACACACAAACATACTGCATATGCACATTTACATATTCAATCGGTGTTTGTCGCTGCGGTCGAAACATGCGTAAACTCGCACGTGCGATCTGGAGAACAAAGAATAGACCCGCTGCTCTCCTTACAGGTATTTTGTAGGAGGCAACTAATTAGGGCTGTTTACTCCAAGGTCAAAATGCATCTGCAGGAAAGGCAACGAACCAACAGTCTGCACACATATACTGCAGTTCTGTGCACACAAAACTCAGGTTCTGGATCAAGACCAAAGTCCAAGAGGGGACAAACAACCAGGGCTTTCTTTTGTAGTTTACAGCCAAGGAATTTAAAATAGAAGACGAAGAAGAAAAAGAAGAAGCAGAAGAAGATAAAGAAAAAGAAGAAAGAAAGAAAAGAAGAAGAAGTTAGTTAGTTGACAGATTATCCTTGTTGCACAACAAACCATTTTGTCCATAAATGCTCAAACCCCCCTCGCAGCATGTAGCGGCTGACGACATCAGTCCTGTGTTGGTTTCTTACTCTTGTTTTTGTGTGGCTTCCTCCGTATTTCTCTTGTCTGGCCACACCGCTTTTAACAGTTCTTGCAGTCTGGGTCATGGCTGCAGATCCAGTCATTACTTGGTCTTCGCAAACTCTTACTTCTGGCAGTTCCTCATCCATGGCTCGTCCGCCCTCCACGGTACTTGACGCTTTACCTGCAAGCTTATCAGCGTACTCATTTCCTTGCACGCCTGTGTATCCTTCCTACCTACATAGATATGAAGACGAAGAAAAAAAGCTATAAACACATAAGATGTCAGTGAACTAAATAAATGAATGAAAGTAAACATAAAACAGAACAAAAGAAATTGCACAATTATGAAAAGCACATCTTTATTTCTATGTCACACAACCAGGCAGGCCACAGACCCAGGGGGTCACACTTGCTGTGATCTGAGAACCAAAGAAACCTGTACAAACCACATCATAATTTTAGGAAAAGGTCAACTCTCATTTCATATAAAGTAGCAAATCTAGCACTTTTAGTCACAAAAGTTTACTGAAAGCTGTCTGTCCTTATAAGAAATGTTATACTGACATCGTTTTATAGAAAGGATGATATTATGAACTGACAGACATCACTTTATGTTGGATGTTATACTATTATCATGTAATAATGAATGTTATACCGAGATCTATCTTTGGTTATATCAAACTGACATATCTCAGTTTTACAAATGCTACACTGACAAATCTCTGTGTAGCAAATGTTCTACTGAGATACACATCTCCATTTAACAAATATTATTCTGAGATGTGTTTCTATATATATATAATATGTTGGGCTAACATCTTTTCAATGAAATTCCCATCAATTAAAGCAACAAATCCGTACTTCATATTCTACACTTCTGTGGGCGCTGTTATTAAGGAGTGAACACCTAGTAGGTCTGTGTGGACTGGAGTTAAAATTTACCATTTGCATAGTGAATCTCTACAGAGTGCACGTAGTACGTACTTGTGAGGAGCAGCTGTTTGAGCAGTTACTTTAGGTTCTCAAGCAGGAAGCCTGGGTTCGACCCCCGAAAAGATGATCGCATTTCTCTGTTAAAGGCAAAAGTTAGACATCTCAACCTGCACAGTCCGTGGCAACAGCATGAGTGTGTGCAGTCCTAAATCCTCAAGCTTACACCCCCCCCCCCCCCCCATTTTTACACCGCCCTAACAATCAGTAATTCAGACATTAATGACAATGACAGTATATACTTGTGCAGCCTTGTGGTTCAGAGGTTAAACTGGTTAACAATTTTACTAGGGTTCGATTCCTGCGGTGGACGGTTTCAAAAAATAACTCTCCTGCAGTTTTTGATCAGTGTCACAAAAGTCAAACAATGGAAGAGACTAAGGCCTCACAACCTAAAGCTCTCAAAGATAACAATGGTACGACCTTCAATCTTCACTAAGGGAAGGCATAGCATTTTTGTTTACATTCTTGTATGGGTGTGAACACAAGATTTGCTAGTGTGAATTTATAACACAACTCACCGTACAGTGGGTGAATTTGGCACAAACTGATTTATCAACACAAAAACCCCCAAGATGTCCAGAAGTCTCACAACAAACGCATGAAATTTATTTCCAGAAGTAGCAAGAAATTCTGCCTACGGCATGTCTTCTTCCTGTTTTCCCTCTTCTTCCAGTTATCTCAGGAAGGTGTTGAGGTTATCTGTGCTCTTTCCCTCTTAGGTATTGTGTCAGTTGGTCTTTTCCTATAAGCTGTTGTTGATGCCGTCATTCTTTATTAACTACATGGTCCTCCTACATGGTCCGTGTTCACTGTATCATCTGTCCAGTGAGGTTCTCTGTGGTCACTGATACCAAGGTATCTGTCCAGCAAGGTTCTCTGTGGTCACTGATACCTTGGTATATGTCCAGTGAGGTTCTCTGTGGTCACTGATACTGTCCAGTGAGGTTCTCTGTGGTCAATGATACTGTCCAGTGAGGTTCTCTGTGGTCACTGATACTGTCCAGTGAGGTTCTCTGTGGTCACTGATACTGTCCAGTGATGTTCTCTGTGGTCACTGATACCAAGGTATCTGTCCAGTGAGGTTCTCTGTGGTCATTGATACTGTCCAGTGAGGTTCTCTGTGGTCACTGATACCAAAGTATCTGTCCAGTGAGGTTCTCTGTGGTCATTGATACTGTCCAGTGAGGTTCTCTGTGGTCACTGATACCAAGGTATCTGTCCAGCAAGGTTCTCTGTGGTCACTGATACCAAGGTATCTGTCCCTCTGATGGTCAAACTGTCTAATTTGTTGCTCTTTAAGGGATTATGTGAATCTATTCCCCAGGTGGGTTCCTGTGTCCCATTCTGGGTAGAAAAAGTAGACTTATTGTGTCCTTGACAAAAATGTCATACAAGGCACACAATTAGAGAAGATTCCTTGAAAGTCCGAACCAAAGAGGTGAGGAACCAAAAGTCTGCATACAAATAAGCCAAATCTGTAAAATGGACATGCATGCAAAGCTCTAAATTCTGGAACATGACCAAAGTCCAAACATCGACAAACAACCAAAACCTTCTGCTGAAGTTTACAGCCCTGTCACTAGTGTTTCCAAACTTGCAATAACAAGAATATCTAGGAATACATGGAGCTACACTAGAAGAATATTGGTACAGCTGATACAGTTTGTGGTAGAGCCCCATACAGTGACCCACTAATGATCCCTATTTCATACTCTGCCTGGGTCTAGGTCCACCTGGTCCTGGATGCACCTGGGTGGGGAATATATTTACACATTGGCTGTACACCCAGAATAGTACAAGAGACAGATTGTTTCAAATGTACATTAGTGGACACCCACACATAGACTCCCACACATAGAGGCACAACATAGTTCATGGTGTGGGTTGTTCTTATTTATTACACATGAGGCCTGGGACTGTAATATATAAACGTACACAGGCAACCACACAGAACTGATCATCACAAAACATACTGCAAACATATGAAGGGGTTTCTAGGGCATAAGAACACATCAGGGGTTCACATCTGAATGGAGCCAAATTTTTGTTTTCTTTTCACAAATGACCTGCTTGGCTCCCAGGCTCCCCAAGACCTTAAATGGGTATCAGGTAAAGCTATGGGAAGTAAAGGCCCACCTCAATTGGTCTATAAAACAATATG